AGAGAAATGTTTAGATTAAAAGATATCACGATTTTCCGACGCCAGGACGTGATATCTTTCAAAATCGATAAAAAGCGAAATTACTCTGAAATGGTTGAGAATCGGACCATGGACAATATGAACTTTTTTGTTCATTTTAGGGTGAAGAATCTACTGGAGAAGTTTGTAGCACGAGTAGCAATTCACCCTGTATATATATATAAATTTAATTTTTTAAAGATATTTTTTTTAATATAAATTCCAGTCAACGAGTCAAAACATATGGCGTGGAATAATGCCACTACTGTACCAACAACACATATCCATTTCTCTAGTTAACCATTTCCTCTACCTTGAGGTTTAAGCTGTACATCGACAAAAGACTAACTTGGAATCCCCATACAGGGCTAAAAGAAAGCAACGACTGACTAGACGCTACAAAACACTCACGACTCTCTTCTGCGTATCTAACCAGACAATCCACAGATGTCATAAAATTCCACAACTTCCTTTCATTACACCCCAATCCTTGAGTTTTAAACCTGACATCCCGAACTATCCCTAATTAACCTGCTGGGCAACGAGTCATAACACGTAGACCTTCCTACAAGTGCACCACTGGGTGATTCTTCACACCCTAGTGCTACTTAGTTCCAGATTTTGTCTTAGGTTTTTCCGTTTGTAGTATAAAAATGAATACTGTTATAAAAAGAAAAAAAAAAAGAAATTAACCTGATTATACAATGACACTTTGATTGTACAGTGCCTCTGCCTACAATCCGAACTTTGTACTCTGAACATTCCTGTATTTGCCCGTAATCCGAACGGGAAAAAAATGTAAGCAGTCAGAATTTTAAAGTAAACAAATGCATTAGTTGGAGGGGAGTGTCAGTAAGTGAATGAGTGAGTGCGATTGAGAGTGAGAGAAACAGAAAGACACAGTGAGAGAGAAAATGCGTGTGCGTGTGTGTGTGTGTGTGTGTGTGTGTGTGTGTGAGAGAGAGAGAGATAGAGATAGATAGATAGAGATAGATAGGTAGAGACAAATAGAGATAGAGGGAGGGGAGGGAGAGTGACACTGAAGGTGTTTTTTTCTCTACTGCAAGTACTCTTTGCCGTAGGGAATTCCTTTTTCCTATTTCGGATTGCAGGATTGTTAACATTTACATGTTTTACAATTAAAATCTTAAAATAAAAATACAAATTTTTGGACAATTTTTCACTTCTCACATAAACAATAACAACAAATATTAAACTAATAACAATGAATAAAATTAAAAAAAAATTAAAATTTCTTTCTTTATCACAACAAATAATAAACTAATAACAATGAATAAAATGCAATATAATAAAATACTATAAAATGGGATAAAATAATTAAAACTTTTTTTCTTTAACACTAGCAATGTTTAAAATTTTCTTCTCTTACTTGTAATAATAGTGAATAGTAGATACACTATTTACAATTTAGATCTATTGACACTATGAAAGCTGGAAAAACTGTCAAAAAATGTGCGTTATTTATTCTTCTTTTGCTGGCCAATATCCTCCTTCAGTTGTAATTTCGTCTTTTTAAATAATGATTATTTGGAGATGGTGAGATGCGGTCTGGTGTGATTTAGGCTATTTTTTTTTTATCGTGCCAACGTTTCGATCATTATTGAGATCATCTTCAGGGCCTGGGACTTATAAACATTGTTTAAATTATACAAATACAAATTGAACTATGTATATAAATCCCAGGCCCTGAAGTTGATCTCAATAAAGATCGAAACGTTGGCACGATAAAGAAAAGGTTTTTCTAAGCCTACATCACACAAGACCGCATCTTAGGCCTTCAAATAATCATTAATTAACGGTCACTAAATACTACACATGTAAATAGAGAATTGTACATCATAATCCAAAAAGCTGGTGCGCAGCAGGATCCCTGTGGACATCCTTTTTCCATGTAGCAGCCCATATGCGATTTTTGGTTTTATGATAGCGAATCGATTTTTAAAATAATCGTTGGCCAATTTAAATAGGTTTTCCGGGCACTCGTTTTTGACGATTGTTTCAGAATGGAATCCCAGCATGCTGCTTAACGCTCCTACAACGTCCATTGAAATTATTAAAACTTGCTCACGTTGGTACAGCCTTCTTTCCACTTGTTCCTTGATCGCCATTAATTCTTCCGTTGTGCCAATTTATGGTGTGAATCAATATTGTATATCAATTAATGTTCCTTTTTGCGTAAACCAATGTCTTATTCTGTTGATCATTAATTTTTCTAATATTTTCTCAAGAAGGGGCAATAGGCTAATCTGATCTATATTTGGATATGTCATTTTTGATTCCTTTCCCGATTTGATAAGTAGTATTAAATTGTATTTTTTCCATATGTGTGGGAAGATTCCTCTATATAGGGTGTTCGGCTACTCGTGTTATAAACTTTGCCTGTAGATTCTACATTCAAAATGGGATCAAAAAGTCCTAATTAACTATGTTCCGAATATCAACAGTTTCGGAGTTATTCCCCTTTTTCTGATTTTTTAAGATTTCACGAACTTGCTCCAAATAAACAAACGTAACTCCAAAACCGAAACGGTTTTGGACA